CTTAAATCGGAAAATGTTGACTAAAATGAAAATCAAGCAAGGCTTCAGGCTGGATTCCAGGATCAAGTCGTAGTGATGATAAACTGGTCAAATAATAAAACATTTTTCACTGATCTTAATCATTTAGACTATTGTGCAGTCCAAGGTTACTAGTGACAAAGTCATCAAGTTGACTTTAGTGTTGAAAAGATTTCTCTATAAAAAAGCTATGAATATCAAAGGTAAAATATTGAATTTAAAGCAACTAAGAGGAACTTGATTTTGTGTGGCTCATGTGCCCCATGTGGACAAAATAAATATTATCAAGTCTCATTCAGAGCAACGGTTGGCTTGATTTGGTTTATCCTCAAATCTCCCTGTATCACTTTGATGCAATCTAGTTTTTAATTGTAAAAACCAAGCTGGTTTACATGATCTTTAAATCATAAATGAATTCATTTGAACAACTGAGCCCCGACCTATGGTGCTGCTTCAGAAGGCTCCAAAGAGCAAAGTTGAGCAAAAAAACAATGTTCTGCAGCATCAATCTGTACCGTATCAGAACATTTCTTTCACCATGGTTATATCACAAAACTTTTTAGACACATATTGTCCAATTGTGTAACAGTTGACAAAAAGTCAACTACACATTTTTTAAAGAGCACCTATCTGAAAGCCATTTTGTAAGAGATCAAAGCACCTCCCCCCCTCACAGCCCCACAAAAAAAAATCTAATTCACCCTATATGTCTTTAAAGTGCATCATATAGTTTCAAGGTGAAAAAGTTGAGCCAAAAAGTAGCTAATGTAGTCTGCCGAAGAATACCAGTCTAGGAAAAGCTAAATAAATCCTTCACATCTACCACTAAATGTATCACATGTTCATACTCATGCAACTTTTGATAGCACTTATATTCTGGGAAAGTTTAGCACAGTGCTAGAGTTGTACAGGCAGAGCAGTGGGTGGTAAATGGATAACCAGCATGGGAGCCGGAGATCAGAATCAAATGGAAAGTGAAGTCTTAAAACACTGCTGCACTTTTCTTTGGCCAACACACATGTATTCTCTGCTATGTCTTTTTGTACTTATTATGATTTAAGACCTGTGTGAAAAAGTTATAGATGTATAATTAAAACAGTGAAGCAGCACAAGATAAATATAGAAAGGCGAAGAAGGAGGTGTGATATTTCTAAACAGGAATCATTCAGAAGTATTTCTTATCAACGGATGTCCTTTCTATACAAAAGCTGAGGAACAAAATCTGCTCTGACTTTAAAGAGGACATATTATCCCCCTTTTCAAACAGTCCCGTGGTCTAAATGAAACATCATTCATGTTCAAAATATAACATGAATTAAGCACCAGAGGAGGTTTGTGACCCCGTATAAACCAGCTCTCTCAGAACACTCCGGTTTGGTGTGTGTGTCTCTTTAAATGCAATGAGCTCCCTCTGACTTTTCCCGGTAGACATCACTCCATCGCTAGCTAGAATAAAAATGGCAGACCTGCGCATATGTTTTGCTATACGCTGGAGGTGGAGTCCATGGGTGGAGATACCAGGGGAGGGGAGGGTATTTAGAATCCCACTGTGATGTCACAAGGAGAACAAACTTGAAACAGAGCATTTTTCTCTGTGTTTATGACTTATGCAGACCTCATACAAAGGACTGGATGGGTTTATTTTTCGTTTTTGGGGGTCAGTAGACAATTAGGTAACATTAAATAAATAAATGTTCAAGAGCACTGTAAAAGTAGATTTTTCTTAATATGTCCCCTTTAAAAGACTACATGAAGTTATCTCACAGTAACTGCAGTGTAAGTGTGAATCTGAAGCTGAAACTAATCTTGTTTTGAGGTTCTTTATGAGCAGCGAAACCAAACTTTTATCCAAAGTATGAAGTGATACTGTCACTCATTTAATGAAGCTCTAGCTCAAGATGCTTCTCCAAGCAGACAATCATCTTGTCATTTTAACACTGAACACATTCAGCTCCAGATACTGCGGTCTACACTTCACTTATAATGATTAAGTGGATAAATTACCACACTTGAATTAAGGCAATAACCAAATAAAGTGAAGTGCGAGCTTGAATATTTATCTTTTACCCATCTCTAAGTTACAAAAACAGGACAATGGCAAATGCTATAACAAGGCAACAATGGCAAAAGTAAATAATGCATGTCACTCTAATCCTGCTTCAGCTGCTTACTTTTGGCCCTTCCATAACCTCGGAGAAAACCCACAGGGGTAGAACGATCTCTATCTTTTCTCTATCTTCACATGGATTGTCATTTTAAGCAAACGATAATGTTTCAGCAACAACTTGGGCAGCGATTTGTACAAAGTATGGATTTAAACTATCAGGAACCATCAGGACTTTCTTGGTGTTTCATGTCTTTTTTTAGCATCACTTGAAGCCGTTGGGACATATTTTTCCCACCTGAATTAGAATACCAGCCTTCAACATGTTTGGCATTGCTTTCAAATGAGTTCAAAGCAATAAAAGGATTTAACATTGGAATTCCAGAGTGAAGAAGTGTTTCCCCATAAGGGCCTGTGTCCACTAAGGATGATTTTTGCACTGGCAGCGCCCATTTGTAAAATAAAACCAATGCAGATTAGGGTTTTTAACACTGCGTACAGAGTGCAAAAAAACGCTCCAGAGTCAGTTATTTTTCATCTCTGTTGTCACAGTTGAAAATAGTTCTACTTTTGGAACACTGCTGCGCTCATTAATGTAACTTTTCGCTCACCCACCAATCAAAATCAAGAAGGGGCGGGATTTCTGATATTAACTTTTTGAACAACAACGGTGGAGGAGAAACTAATCCGACTCGTATTTTCAAGTGAACAATTTTCATGTCTAGAGCTGCTGCTATTTCAAGGATAAGATTCCTTTACGTTGTTTACCTGTTTTCATGGTCATGCTTCCTTAAATAAAGGAAATTATTAATTAACATGGAGCTATTCAAACTGAGGGAAGCAGAAGTCAACTTGCAAAAAAAGCAGACATGCACAAAAACACAGCGCCACGCTCCCCCGCTGGCTCAGCTGATACCGTCTCGCCTCTGTAACACCTCTGTTACTACCTCTGAAGGCGGTACAGAGAGGGGATCACTGCGTCCCCCCCACATAACGCCTCTGCAACATTCAGATTGAACGAGAAACATCACAGGAACGTAAATGTACCCTCCTTAAAAAAATGCAGTCTGAATAGGGCTAACAACATCAACCCCTGTAGGCCTATGAGTCACCAACAGAGCAACTCTGCTTGTGGCGAGGGATGCACCAAAGAGGTAGTGCTGACAGGAATCACAATTCGCTACTTTCCGGTGCAACACCAAGTAAAGCAAGAGAGGGAGGCTGAGGTCATCTAAAGAATCTGCAAGACAGTGTGATGATGAAGTGTGTAGGTTTTTCTCTGCGTCACCAAGGTATATAAAAATAATGTTGTATAATGCACCAAGAATAGAGGATTTCCCCAATTCTTCCTTAACAAAAAAAAAAAACCCTGAGAAAAGATTTGACTCTCACAGGTTGATATTGAAACACAGTCTACAAAATACAATTATTATAGGTGGATAAGCAGCTGAATGTGGAAGAGTAAAGAAAGCCTGAAGCTGAAAATTAAGCTTAAATAAAAGATGTTAGAAGCCATAACTGTCCAATATGCAACTTGTCAGAGTAGCAAACATATCTTGCTCTGTGAGAGCATCCCATATGTAGGATCTAAATAAATGCTGCTAAAATTTAATTACTGATGAACTATGGTGCTTATATTTGGGAAATGCTTAGTGCTTGATACAAACCATGATCAGAATCTCTAAGTCTCAAATAGCATATGATGATCTCTACATTGGGCTACTTAGGTGTTCTTACATGACACAGCATCAGACAGCATGCTTTGTCTGAGGTAAATCAGCAATCCAGTGTTGTAAAATGTGGTGCAAAAAAAAACTGCAGTCCACGTCAGGCTGGTTGCAATAGCCTGTGAGTGTCATTAACACCCATGTTAAAATGCCCTTTTTTATAGTACAAATACCTGTGTAGAGCCTGTTTAAAAAAATGCTGACCTGAGAAGCTCTTTGTTGGTACACTGTACATACTGTATGTATCAGTGGATTCACACAGCTTCTATAATGTAACTGCACAATTAAAATTTTCATCACTGTTTTGCACATTTACCCGTCTGCCCTCCAAAAATGTCAAAAAGTCATAAACTCTTGATTAATTTGTGAATCTATTTTTTTCTTTATTGAGACTTAGAAGTAAAGTAAAGTGAAATTCTGATGTATTTATTCTTAATTTTATTTTTGATATTGTTAGGGCTTATTTACTTCGTATTTATTCTAGTACTGTTTAACTTTTCTTTGATAACCTGCTGCTGTAACACCACAATTTCCCAGTTTGGTTTCAATTAAGTAGATATATCCATCCATCCATCCATCTACATGTGATGATCTCTGTTTAACTCATCCGTTTGGATTATTTTAAGGGGCATGGCACGGCTGATCTGACTGACATGTGACTAAATGCATTCCTCAGCTACATGTCTTTCACTGTTATTAGAATGACCGGACGTAAGGTTGAGGCAGCATTTCAAATATGGTATCCATCACCACTTGGCTTCAAAAGTCCGCTTCAGAGAACAAAAAGATCAGATCAAAATGAGACATTTTGTAATTATAGTATCCAATAATATCACCTCTTAGTTCTAGTCCTTTCTTATAATATTTTGCTCAGCAAAATGTAGTACCTTGTACGTCTGTGTAGAGAAGTCAAACTTATAAAGGAATTCCAACTTTGAGTACCTCATGTTGTTAAGTATGCAAATATATGAACATGTTTAAGAGGGAGAGTGATGCTTGATCATTATCACCATTACGGTAGTTGTAACTTTTGAGAAATAATGCAGGTAAAAATAGATGAATATCTTGAGGATGTTTTGGAGTTATCGCTGTAGAGAGGTTATGATGAGACTATATCTAATTATTTTTAGACAGAGAAACCTTCAGCTCACCTCTGGCACTCGCTGGCATGGAGGACCAGGTCCTGGTTGTTCTTGGCACTGACGGTGAGTTCGTGCTCTGTTGGGTTGAAAATGTCGAGCAGCAGATGACACTGGCGGGTGCTATGGAAAGACACAGACACAAAACCAGAGATTCTAAAATGACGTTTGTGATTGCACTGGCTCATACGGGGCAGACAGCCCTCGAGCATCATCAGAGGCAAAGATTTCTTTAGACATTAAACACAAATACATAAAAGAAAGCTCTCACACACATTTATGTTCTATAGGGAGACTCTGTTGGCCATGGAGTATGCTTAATTAGTTGCAAGAGTTTATACATGAGGTGACAAAGACTTTCTAAAAATAAACAACCAGACACACGTACACTGGAAATGTATGAGATCAAGAGAAGACAGGGTGTGAAGTGCTCATCAGTCCTTGTCATAACATCAAAGGTGGCAGCGCTTTCATCAGACCCGCAGGCCTGGCATGAGCAGGCCATCTCCACATCATCCCACGCCTGCTTTTCTCATGCAGATCATAAGAGGGCCAATTTGTGATGTAGATCAAGACAGGAGATGATGCTGGTTTTTCAAAGAGTTCATTTTAACCCCCAAGTAGCTGATTTCTTTTTCTTCTTCTTCCTCCCAGGAATGACAGATGAAAGCGACGGGTATCTGGAAGACAGACTGTCCAATGCAGCCAGCCATATGACTAAACTCTGCATGAGGCAGTACTGTCATTTTACACATAGCATTGACACTTTTATACAGTCTAGCTTAAAGAGTTTGGCCAAACGAGTTACCCTACTTCAAATGATTTCAGCTGAATCATACATTTGCGCTTATTCGTAGGACGATTGGGTCCTTTGTTTCTAGTTCAGCAAAACCAAGACCAAACATATTGGCCATATTGTTATCAAGTTGTATGTTTTCCCTGCACAGGTCACCATCATCAAAGTATTCCACTGACCATTTGAGAAGGCTAATATTACCCTGTTAACAGATTGTATTCAGCTAGTGAGCTAAAGTTAGCTGCAGGGTGGCTTGAAGCCAGAGAAGCTCTTTCAAACAGTATTGGAATGATTATTCATCTTGAATCTGCCAAATGTTCTGTATCATGGGGTTTATTTGCTTTGAAGAGGAGACCACTTATTAAAAGTCTTGTAAACAATGAAAACACTGAAGGAAACCTCAACCAATCAAATCAAGCTGGAAGCAGCTCAATCACAGCCAGATTCTTCTGTCGGAGATCACTAATTTGTCCTTGTTTCTACCTGTTGATATCAATTAGATGTGGTGGAATATGAACATTGCAATCAAATTTTAATTTTGATGAACTTTTAAGTAAAGTTAGAAGCATGCTATGCTGCTCTTGCATGTATTGGTGTACAGTTAACAAAGTTAATTGAGACAAGACCAAGACCATAAAAAATCAATTAAAAATCTTCATCTTATGTACAGGGGGCATGTCACTTTCTTAGACTGTAATACTGGGAGGGTTGAAACTGTAACCGGGGGATAAAAATCTAATTATGAATGAATATAAGTTATTAGTTATTTTAAAAAGGTAATCACAGTAATGACTTGGAAAAATAGCCCGTCAGTGGTGGTCTTGGAGTCCAACCAGTCTGAGACAATACCGAGCTGAAAATGCTTTTGATTCCAAGACCTTCAAAAAGTGGTCTCAAGACTGGATAGATTACTACAACACTACTCTAAAGCATACATTAATTAATTCAAAATGTAAATTAAGGGGGCGCTGGTGGCGCAGTGGTTAGTGCGGAAGCTGTAGTCTTCCGAGCGGGCGGCCCGGGTTCGAAATCCAGCCTGTGGCTCCTTTCCTGCATGTCATTCCCCATTCTCTCTCCCTGATTTCCGACTCTATCCACTGTCCTATCTGTCAATTAAAGGCACAGAAAGCCCAAAAAAGTAATCTTTAGAAAAATGTAAATTAATTAAATTAATTTACATTAAATAATTCAACTGTATGTATATACAACAGAGAAAACAGAAGTAAACATGAAGTTGAAGGTATCTCTCTCTCTCTCTCTCTCTCTCTCTCTCTGGCTGGAAACATAACTGCCAGATTTCTAAAGCAGGAATATATAGCATGCTGAAAAGCAATTACAATAAGTGGAATCAAACAGCGAGAACAGATGTAAAATTGTGTCCTTTGTACAAATTAAATGCTGCCCATCAGCCCATCATCTTCCTCGGGTCACACTAAGCCCCCCTCCCAGCCACCGTCTTGCCTCTTAAATCTCGGGGTTAATGGAGGCTTATGTTGAGCTCGCCCAAGTCCCTAATAAACTGCTTTGGCAATTAAAGGAGCACATTTTTTTAAAGCCTTCCCATGTTTCTTTAATTGTCTTGTTGTCTTTGTTGGCGGATTTGATTAACGGGCTGAATGGGGCGAGGTACTGATTTATAGGTCGTGCCGTTTAGCTGAGGTGATCAATCAGGCCACCTAGTTAAGAAACACCGGCTCATTGTTCATGCTCTAAGTACCCGAGATAAACTGAGGGAAAAGAGTCAGAGATAGAGGCACAGACGATCTGGATTTGCACCTTTTGATAAGCGTGAGCCGAAAATGACACTGAACAAATGGACAAGCTTTTTTTTTTTTTTTTAAGAACTGATGCTAAGACTGCTATAGAAGAAAAGCTGAAGATTATGTTGTTTTTTTCAAATAGCGGGAACTGGATCACAACACTGAATCATTTTGATAAGTATTCTGCTGAGCTACTACGCAGGGCCCCAAGATCTAAGCTGAATAAATAATTCAAAAGTGCCAATGGGGTTTCAAACTACTTGTCTCTCTTTCAGCCTGTGAATTTTTAAATCCTATTTAAGAACCAAGTGAGGCAGCGAGGGAACAAAGTTATCCCTGTCTCTTCAAAATGAACGCGTATCAAACCTGCTCTTCTTTGCTCACAGTGTGCATAACAAATCATCGATCAATGACATATCAATACTCTCGCTTGTGTGCATTAAATAAAGCAAAAAAACAACTTTTGCTACACATCCTGCATGTGCTTAAACATTTAGAACTATCCTGAAAGAGTTGGAGGCAGGGATTATTGTTGTGCTACCACCACCATGTGTACCTGGGTGCATATTATGAAGTCAAACCTAATTTCAAGGAGTAAGTCCTGATCCCAGAAGACGACTTTTACTACGGATCATTTCAGGCACAGCTGGAGGTGTGCCAAAAGGGAGGAAAAAAGAGAGCGAACTACTAAGTGGTCTATTTCTGAGAACACGACCACCCTAACAAATGCACCATGAGGTCAGCATTTTGCCATTATTGATCTGAAGAGGACCTTGTTGCAGGATAGTGAACGTCTCAACCCGGCGCCACACATTTATAAGCCAAGACCACAGAAAGACATCAATACAAAACAGACAAACACCACGGCGACAGCCTGATTATTTTTGTCCCCACATCAACCATACAGATAAATAGAGCTGCTGACGCCGGATGGGCATTAGTTGGACTCGATGCCCTGTCATTGTGAGGCAGTGGGTGGTAAAGATGGAGCACGCTGTGGGAGGAGGCAGAAATGCTGATCAATGACGCTGGGCCCGCACCTCTGTCGATTCTGCAAATCTGCAATCAATAAGTGCTGATTTTGCTGCCTTACTCTGGCACACAAACATGATATATACCCTGCTAACAAATGTAGTGGCCTTAATTAGCCCGGTTGGATTTAGGGAACTGCCAATAATGGGCTATTTTTAGGGCTGTTTGTAGTTACAGAATCCTATAAGGGTATAGTAAAGGAACTGCATGGCGCCTATAACACATAGTGTTATTTCAAATCAAGTGGAAATTTGCATAAATCTCTCTTAGCTGTAGGCAAATACAGGGGCGAGTAATGAATAAAAATCAAATGATAAAACATGTCTAAATAGAAACAAGCATGGCATTTCAACAATACATGGCCATTAGCTAGATTTGGTTTTATTTGGTCAGTTTTAACACACCTCACTCTAATGCTGTTAGAGTTAACACAATACTGATACCGGTATCTGAAAATACCTTCAGCAAATTCAGAATGGATCATTATGTTCTGGTGAGTACATGTCGTGCAACATTTCTGTATCATTATTTATTTTTTAGACTGGAATTTTTTTTTTTTTTAAAAACACATCATTGGAAATGTGCTCTTCTTCTGCTCTCCATAACATTAGCCTACACAAAAGCAGCCACCATGGAAGTATCACAACCAGCACCATTAACTATTGTCTAAGAGAAGCTAAGAAGAACTGGTTTATGTCATTTATTCTGTTAGAAAGCTTACAACATCAGTGCTGGAGGATGTAACGTTGGATGAAGTGTGTTCATTTAGTGCGCCTCCCTTGCATTAGCGAACACAACACATCATGGACTACAAGCCTAGCTTTTCGCTAATGTTAGCTCAGCTTGTATTGCATTTCTCAAGTGTCCCACTGGTATTAGTACTTTGTATCAATAGAGCATTTCTAGATACTGTAATTCAATATGTCTTCTCTTGGAACAATGCAAGGTGGTATACTGTACACGCTATACTTAGATGTGGCTTTCATGCTAGTTTTTTGTCACTGTGCGTATGGCATGAAAAGGCTTGTGTGTGAGTCTGTGACCGGCTCAGGATTTGGTTTTAATTATGAGGACCGACTGCTCACTGGTCATGGATGAGAACGCTAAAAATCGTCAGATTCTGGTCACATGCTGATCTATTGACGCACCTTAACCCGTCTTAACTCAAACTCTTTGCCGGTTAGTTGATTGATTATTTGATTCATTGATTGACTGACTGACTATGATTTGAACGCACTTGCATGCTTAAAAGAGCAACTGAAAAAACTGTAGACTTAAATCTTGACAAAGAAAAAAAAAAAGAAAGATTGAAACATAACATTCACATCCAGTGACTCTGTTTTTCTATCTCCAGACAAACAATAGGATGTGATGTCAAGGAGGAAATCATTCTCAGGAAAGCAGTGATACATGTTAGTTGAAGGCAGCAGAACAGAGGAGGGTTTCCTTCTTTTAAGGGCTGTAAGTTGTTACTCACAACCCAAGAGATACTAAACGAGGAGCACTTTAACAGAAACACGTTGAAGGATCCACTC